ATATGTATTACGATCCTGGGAACATGCGTACAGTAGATCCTCGAGAAGTGCAGCTAAGAAGCTCAGCGCAAAGACAAAGTCAACGGAGGAAACCAGTTTGAAAACACTGGCGTGGCCATGTACGTTACCTACTAGAAGTGGATGCGAAACTAGTATTCAGTCACTGAGGTGTTATGTCGCCATTTTAGCGAGTAATTGGATCTGTGAACCCAAACATTCCATACCAACAGCGCCCTCTGCAAGGATATCCACACACACACACACAAACAGAGAAAGGAAGAGAGAGACAGAGGTTTACTAACAGTGACCGAAATTCTATGCCATTTTTGCGCACGTATGCAGTCGCCGTTGTAGATGGGCATTCGCCTAAGGGTGTGCTATTAGTGCTTATGTGCTATAAGGAAATAGTATTGTCCGTGCAAACTACATATAACAGGCAATAACTTACGCAAAGGTAATCCCCACACGAAAGGGCCACTTCGTCACAAATGCCTCTCATACCATCACCTTTGACAGACCAGGCGGGATCCACAGGTGGATGCAACATAACGCTCAGCGATGATTCGAGATTGCATGCGGCCAAGTAGACGTATAACGGTATAAGAAACCAAGCAAAAGATGTATCAAGACCATAGAGATAATATGCTTTTTATACGAAAAGTCATTTATTAGATTTATTATGTTTACTATGATATTTGTAGTGCTCTTAGCCACTGCTTGATAGCAATGCTTCCAGAAGCTACCACGAGGAGGTGGCACTACTTTAGCTTCCAAAAATATTGTTCATTCAAAGAATGAATCCAAAGCCAAAGCCAAAGCTTTAGCAGGAACGATACACAGTTTATAAAAATCCAAAACCAACAGTCAACCTGCACCTCACTTGCAAGTTTTGCTTCTCTTCATCTCCTATTCTTGTTCGTTTCCTTTGGTTCACTTGTATTCGTTGTATCGTTCGTAATCGTAGTTGTAGTTGTAGCCGTATTGTGTTCGTACTCGTAGTAGTTGTATTCGTACTCGTAGTTGTATTCGTACTCGTAGTTGTATTCGTATTCGTATTAGTATTAGTATTAGTATTAGTATTCGTAGTTGTATCCGTATCCGTATTCGTACTCGTATTCGTACTCGTAGTTGTATTCGTAGTCGTTGATCAAAGGGCGTGCATTCACAGGTCCATGACTGAGAACTTCATCTTCGCTGACGCGTCGGCTCCAGGTTGAAAAGGTGCCGGTAGAAGCTAAACTCCATTCTCAATGCAAGTAAGCGGGACGGTTTCACTCGGCTTTTTGTTGGTGGTAGACCTCACAAGCCTCTTGCACACACCTAGTTGAATAGGCCCTGTGCAGCGCTAATTCCAGGTTCAACCTCCTCATGAATGCACGCATTTGAAAAATATGGGCGACAGGTCGCCATCGATAGCGTGCTGTCGTTGATCGATTCCTACAGTTGTGCTAAAGAGAAAAGAGTGATCAGTCTGTAACCCATGATCGAGACAACAATAAGAAAATCGTTGATGAGGTTGGTGACATGACGTATGCAAAAAATTGTGGGGTTTGAAAGAGAACGCGAAAATTGAAAATGGTCCTGAAAAAACAATTTCAAGGCCTGTGATTGGCTGCAATGCTATGGCGGAATGTTATGCCGACGTTGACTGCCATGCATGTATTGAAGCTTAAATAACACCACGTCACTGGGTCTACAAATGTTACCATGGTAAAGTGCACCTATTCCCATGTTTAACTTGAATTAACGATTGGAAATATCCGCTCCTTTGTCTAAGACTTTTTACTCACATATAAATACAACTACAGTTGGACGATCTTTGAGTTTCTAACAGAGTAGAGAGTACGTTGAATAACTGGAGAAAGGAGAGAGACTCTGTGTATGTGTGTACTCATGTGCTGTACATACGGCAACAGATGATTTACTACTGTAGCTACCGTCGTTGTAGCTGTGAGACGCAGAACGAGCAGGAAAGCATCACCACCATCCACAGATCAGTGGTGAATCTTCGTTTGGTTTATTATTCGCTATAAATTTTAAATCTTCTAATCACTATTTATATGATATGTCTTGTTCACTATCAATATCAAGTATGCCTTTAGAAGACTATAGTCTGTCAAGTCGTATCTTTTCTTATGTACTTGATAAGAGCCAGCGGCAGAGGATACTTTAGACTAAATATATAATAACCCGCGCCCCTTGCTATTCCTTCCCTCTAAACTTTTATCCTATTAGAGCGACATCACATCATTATCTGTTTTTACCTTCTTTATCATAATAGCGTGCAGCAAAAGAAGTGACTATTGTCTCAATGGCGCATGTCACCTAGTCTTCCAATAAATACTTTGTTGCTACGCGTGCGCGCTTAGATTTATACATCGATCCAGCGATCTTTTGACGAGTATGTACAATACTCAGCCTTTATAAAAACAACCCGTAAGCAGCTAACAAAATGGGGGTTTTCTTTGTGCCAGATTTACCTGAAAACATCAAAGCACCAATCATTGGTAACACGGCTCAGCGCATCATAAACAGTGCTTTGTTTTCAATACAAAAGCCAAAGGTCAGTATTGTTTTATCTTATGGCGAAAATATACTGCGTTGCTAAGCAATCGAATGTTATGGTTTTATGTTCTGCAGCCTCAACATCTTATGGTAACTTTAATAAACTACATAGCAAATCCCCGTCCTTCCTATAATTCTCTTTCCGTTATTTTTTAATTTGCTCGGTTACTACCAATAGACGTGTAACAAAAAGGTGTCAGGGATTTTATTTTGAATGTATTGATTCAAGGTGATTATTTGGTCCTCCACGATCCTACGATGGGTGACTTTCAATCAAGCAAGCAGCAACTACCTACATGCAAGGAATTCAGTAGACACGAATGTTTGAAAAACCTTGTTATATACATGTAGTATTATCAATCAGATCTGCAGAAAGAGGAGCAAAACATAATTGAAATCATACGATTCGTCATCGCATATCTATAAGACATGTATATTCAGTACGTACGTAGATCAATCGTAGCATGCTATTATGCACTGCTACAGTAATAATTCATCCGCTCTTATTGAAGCGATCATCCGAATAAGTATGTAGCTCTTTTTTGCCTAGTCAAGTATTAATAGTTCCTTTTATTGCTCTTTTGTTTGACTTTTTTTTTTCGGTCGAAGGATTCTCTGAACTGCGCTTGTTGGTTTTAGAAATGAACTTTTTACTAGGCAAATGCTTGGGTTTCTCTAGAGGACAACCATCATTTAAGCTTCATTTTTGCTGTTTTGCGTGATGAACTGCAGGTAGATTCAAGGAGTGATTTAAGCCGGACGATCACTAAAGGTCAATTCAACGCACCCTTTCCTAAAATGAAACTTACGACGACAGGGAGATCTTATAACGTAAGTTCTTGCCAGCGCTTCGTTGCGCAAGTAGTTAAAAGTTGTGGTAACGTGGAAAAAACTGGTTTGGATTGCTGGACAAAGCGGAAAGTGCTGCGATGGAAGTATTCTACGCCATTTGTCGTTCTTGTAGCATTTCATACAAGTTCTTCATGTTTCGTCGTCTTGGATCGGAAAATCGTACTTCCAACGCTGGGGCGTAGCCACCATTTATCCAATTCGTTCCGTAGTGGTTTCGTACATGACTCTGGTATATGCCAAGAGTACATCTCAACGTTCCATCGAAATAGCTTCACCCTGAATACGTTCAATTAATTGTTTCCAATGATGAAAGTAGCAACCCTATATATATATATATATATATATATATATATGCCTCGCCACTTTTGACACCAGGAGAAAGTGTTGTTAGAAGCGATAGAAAAAATCCAGCTCTCTGGGCTTGCGGAAAGTCCATCATTATTCTACACATGGATGATTCACCAGCGTCAATCTTCTTAGTATCCAGCACCTTGAGCATTGTATTAAAGTACAAACACAATGTTCTGTACTCAAAGCACCAAAAATTGCTAGGAAAACTGGGGCATATCTTTGCAATTTTTCGTGGGAAATGACAGAATTGCACAGGTAGTAACCGTCACAAAAACAAGAGTATGTGACACCTGTAAAAGTTGGTTCTTAGGGTGCATTTGATATGCTGTTGGATGAAAGGAGAAGCAAAAGGAATGCAGAACGTATCGGAATGGATATCCAGCGGTGACCGTACAAAACCGGGAAAATCGATATTAAGCTGTCGAATTGGAGCAGCTGCCGTTTCAATGTTGGGTGCGCCCTTAGCGTTGGACCCGTTCAAAGCAAGTATGTTACGACGGCGATACGCCATTTTACGAGCGTGCTGTAAATCGACGTCGATCTCGCGCACAGGTTGTTGTGGTGGGTTCATTGCTCTCTGAGAGCTGCTACCGACAACAAGGGCCACCCTTTCGGTAAGTTTGGCGACTGATTGCTTGCTTATATGAGCTGCTTCATATTGACCATGTGATTGCGTGTCATAGTGCCGGGCAGTGCCCACCCAACATATATGAACTTGAAGTTCACCTGGACGTCGCAGGCAATGTGTTGCATATTTCCTTTGCATTAAACACACTTTTGCTTTTAAAGGAGCAACTTAGTGCTAGCAGGTCTGACCTGATGGTCTTTTGCTTACAACAATCCCTTACGCAATGTATAGCACCAAGGGAGATCTTGATATCATAATGCTGACTCCACCGTCAACTTTCTTCTGATTCTGTTGGTAAAGTTGCCAGCCACTGTCGGTGGGCCGTTCATACGTTCCGTCTACTTTTTTGAAAAGTAGAGCAATCGTGTGCTTTTTGTCGCCGTCGATCCATCTCGTAGATTCGGTCTTCATGTTGGAGGACGTGATAAAAGCTAATCGGTGTGAGGTTGTTACTTTATGATCAGTGTGTCCGAGTTGAGTACGTGGAATAGCTCAGTAACACGACTGGTTTTCTTGCTAAAACGACTGCTTTTACGGCAGTCGCCGAAAATGGAAAGTACATAAAAAAAGTCGCGCACCCAAATATAGAGCGGAGTATATTCTTCTTCTGTGATCTCGTCATACGGCTTTCAAACGTATGGACAATGTTCGACTTGATCTCGACCATGTTTCCAACAATGACGATTCGACTTTGCCAAATCAACGAGAAGAAGCCCATTCAACTGTCCCCGTAGACAATTCAATTAGGGCAGAAAAAGAAGGTAATTCTTTTTCTTTTTGAGGAAAAGATATCGTTGAAACCTTTCTTCTTATGCTTTCCATATAAATCAGGATCCACCCGTCGTCTCAGCTTCCTCGATCGATATTTGGCTGTATTTATCCTGGTCGCAATGATCGTGGGTGTCTTGATCGGCTACTATGTGCCTGGTGTACAACATTCTTTCGAAACTGTACAATTTGGATCCGTTTCCGTTCCTATCGCCATTGGTCTACTGTTGATGATGTATCCAATCATGTGCAATGTGCAGTATGAACGATTGCATACTATCTTGGTGTCAAAACCAGTGTGGATTCAAATAGCTATCTCGATCTTGATTAACTTTATCGTGGGGCCTATTATCATGACCGCGCTTGCCTGGGCTACCTTGCCAGATCTTGCGGAATTCAGGGCAGGGGTCGTTATGATCGGACTCGCTCGGTAAAAGAAAAAATCCATTGTTTCCCCCGGGTTTTCGTATCAGCAACCGCATTGATTACTATATATAGCTAATCTGCTTCAGATAAAATTAGATGCATCGCAATGGTTCTCATATGGATCCATTTGGCGCATGGAGACGACACCTTTGGCGCAATGCTGGTTGCCATCAACTCAATCTTACAGATTGGACTCTATTCTCCTTATGCCGTGCTTTTTATTAATATCATTCCATCTTGGTTCGGTGCGCAAGCGGATAGTACCGTCAAAGTCGAGATTTGGCCTGTGGCACAATCCGTGCTGATTTATCTGGGTATCCCGCTTGTTGCTGGCCTTGCGACACGGTATTCACTCATGTATTATGCAGGCAGGAAATGGTACGACGACAAGTTTGTGCCTTTCATTGGACATTGGGCATTAATTGGCCTCATTTATACCATTACCATCATGTTTGCAAATCAAGGACATCAAATCATCGAAAACATTGGCTCTGTTTTCCGTGTGGCTGTTCCATTGGCTGTCTATTTCTGCATCATGTTTTTCGCTGTCTTTTTTGCGTTGAAAGCATTGGGTGCACCATACGATGTGGTCGTTACCCAAGCTTTTACTGGCAGCAGTAATAATTTTGAGCTGGCAATTGCGGTAGCAGTGGGAACGTACGGTGTCCGCTCGGAGCAGGCGCTGTCAGCCACCGTGGGTGCTCTAATCGAAGTTCCAGGTAATGTCAAGGAAGACCTTACTGATAATGATCATCATCACTTATACACTAAGCATAATGCTGCTACTCTGTAGTGCTTTTGGCTCTGACGTATGTCGCAATGCTTTTCCGGAAAAAATTAAACTGGGTCAATCGGTCGCCACTTATGACACTTGACAAAAACGGTTCTGTATAGACTTGCATACACTGTTACATGTAGAATTGTATATACTGTACATACATATATCCATAGCATTTACCTCAATTTAAGTTAATTCGTAGCTCGAGTTTTCAAACAAAGCTCTTTGTAACATTAGCAGATATTCATGTTTAAAAAGAATTGTAGTTTCATACTCTTATAAGGCGATATCTTACTACTGGCATCTCCAACCTGAAAAAAAGGTACGCAACATCGACTAGAACAGTTTGTGATCTCTGTGAAATTGAAAAGTGTTCATGATGATGAAAGCAAATAGCGTTGTACTCGAATATGATATTTTAACTATATTTCGATAAGCCAATGGCTTGAAGAAGATTGATTAGTGTTGATTAGTGCTATATGGCATTGTTTTTGGTGATATGATAGTAAGAGAAAAGAGCCGCAAAACATACATATCATTGTTTAATAGCAAGGGGCCTGTAGAGAACGATGTGTATCATCATTGGATATTATTTTTTATGTTATCGTGCCTTATTGCGTATATGATCTGTTCGACTGATTGATATTATGTGGATCAGCTCTCATCAAACTGATATTACACCCTGCTCAGAAATTAATAATACCCTTACTCATACAATGTTCTTTTGCTATATTGCATTCACTAAGCTGCAACAAAAGTGCCAGCCGAGGTTAGTCAGTGTGTGAAACCGTGCAAATTAATATGAAATCAAGATCAGGAACAAAATATGTTTCACGCGTGCTAATACAAGCGAGTCGCGTCAAAGGCAAAAAAGCAGGGCTCAGAATATGTGTATATGACATTAGTAAACTAACCGTCTTCTTTTGTTTGCATTTGACGCAGCAGTACCTGTTCTGCGTCCGCTGCCAATTACCTTCCGAAACCTTTGGTGCGTATATACACGGCTGGCATAGCCCAATTGCTTTTTTTGGTTTGGCGGGTGTTATTGCACTTGGCCCCTTCACCTCTCTCTCTTACTCTCCTCTCTCTCTCTCCCTTTCAAGGCTCAGCCCTTTCCCCCTTCCAATATAGCTATTTTAGACAACAATAACACTATAAGTAATGGACTATAGTTCAGGCCCATATGATGGCCATTACTCTAGCAATCCACGAAGACCAGATATGATTCACCGAGGAAGCAGCAGTAGTAGAGTAAGTTTCTCATGTTGCAAAACGATGCACTGATCAGTTTGACAATTCAAGTACCCACCCACACATATGCATTTAGCAGCGCTTTTTTTTACGCAAAAAGAACAATAAGAACTCATTTATCTTGAACACAAAAAAATTATACTTGTAGTCTGGCGAGATTGAACAGGTCGTTACCAAACTTTTACGAACAACAAAGGCGTTACTCGAAGCTTTGACCCAATGGTCACAGCTACGTGCAAGTACGGCGGAAATCCTCGAATACCGCGAAACGCTAGAGAGGCAGTTTCATTTAGTGTCACAAGCGTTTGAAGAAAATGGCGTGCACATGAGGTAAATATGCGTTTTGAAACAAAGAACCTGTAACTGTCAAGTTTCCCTGAAAACACAAAGCTAATGTGTGCATATATAAACCAACGTTTTTTCTAGTGATTTGATTTGGATTCCTCATCAGCTCAAAGAAACTGTGTCAGCAGCAATGGACGAAGAACCTTCTCAAGCCACGCTCGACCACCACTTGCCAAAAATCCGAGACGTTATTGTGCACTTGCTGCATGGTTTAAAAGGAAAACAACACTCGCTTCGTGAACGGGATGCTCAACAGCAGCAACAGCAGCAACAGCAGCAACAGCAACAGCAACGTGAATGGTCTACAGCTCGTGATTCCTATCGATCCACAGATTCCTATCGATCCACAGACTCTTGGCGCCGAGAAGTACCACAAGCAGCATTGAATAGAGGCATGCAATCGCCGCCACGAGGACCCATTTATCCACCCGATCGATCACCACCGCCGCCTGGTCACTCTCGCTTGACAACATCCGACTATGATCCTCGCTCAGGCATGCCTCGACCCTCTGTCTCATCCGAAAACTCTCCTCGCTACGCTCCTCGCCCTTACTCACCCATACCGCCACGCATGCCATCCCCGTCTCGATCGACATCATCCACTGGCGACACTAACACGAACCGACCGCCATCCTCTTCGTCAACTGCACGCAGCGCCAGTGGTTATTATTCACCAACACCTTCATCTGCAAGTATTGTTGCTAATAATAATGCTGCTGCTCCACCCCCTCCTCCCCCTCCACCACCTCCACCTGTTGAGCAACAGCAGTTACAACCACCTAAACCAAGATCCGATTTCGATGAAAATGATCCCGGAACAGCCAGTGCACTTGCTGCATTAAAACGACAAGAGAATCTTGCTCGACGTTCCTCTGTACGTCGAGCATCCATGTTTCGAGCGAACGGTGCTGTTAGTGACTATCATCCAACCAAACGACCTGGGAATGACCTGGCACCACCTGTGCCTTCGCTTCCTTTACGTCGGTCTGTTGAAGGCATGAGCAAATTGGGAACAGTGACCGAAACACAGGCAATCACAGCAGAACCAGAAACTGTTAAAGAGGATGGACAAGGCGAAGATTTGGATCAAACTGGTAAGCAGACTTGTTGTGTGCTTTTAAGCAGAAACATGCATGCAGAAAAGTTTTACATGTGTCTTTGTTTTTAATTCACCGGTTTGATAGGATTGACATTGTTTTTACAAATCGGCAAGCAAGTGAAAAAGGTGTACTATACTGGCGAGATTAGTATCCCCGCATTGCGTATGCTGTTTATCGAACGATTCAATTATTCGTCTGGATTGAACGATTTTCCAAACATCTATATTCGTGATACCTCCCTCAACGTGTCTTACGAGCTGGAAAATCTCGAAGAAGTGGCGAATAAAACGGTGTTGTCGCTCAACGTGAATGGTACGCAGTGATAAATACCGTCACATTCTATCACTATTTTTGTTATGGAGAAAAGAAGAGTTAGTGATTAACATCTGTTTGTGTTCTACATAGAAGAAGAAGCGACGCAAAAGCAATGGATGGATAAGGTGACCGAGTCAGTTGAAAAAGAAATGAGCGAAATTCGACAGCTTTTTGTTGAGCATGTGGATGAGCTCAAGATACAGGTCGCAGAAACCCAAAAATCAGTACAGCAACAGCAACAGCAACAAACCATCCCTCCCCCACCGCCACCGCCACCAACAGATGCAGAAGCAGCACCAGAAGCAGAAGCAGAAGCACCTGCACCCAAACCGGCAGCTGAAGCACCCTCACCATCTTCATCACCATCACCAGATCAGCAGCAGTCGGATGGATCCACACAGATACCTACAGCACAACTGCAGGCACAGCTGCGGGAAATCGAGACACTACGCCGCGACATGGCGGTACTTCGACAAATCCAAAGCGAGATGCGGCAAGGCACGGATGAGATTGTAGAAGAAATGAAGGAAAAGGCACAACAAATCCGAGAGCGCGAAGAACAAGACAAGGACAAGCAGAGTGCACGGTCGGCTGCTCGTCTTTTTATCGAAGAAGGCAAAGAAAAACTGTTGTCAAACTCGGACAAGATTACTGGCCGGCTGGAGGATCTGCAGGATACTGTGGATCAGCTGAAACTGGATGTGACGCAGCGCAAGTGCCGCCCATCTGAAGCACAGATGACGCATTGCAGCAAGGAGCGTGAGGAGATTGCCCAAGCGATCGAAGAGTTTGGTGCCTACATTGTCAGTGTCAAGCCTCGCTGGAAGAAGACGTGGGAGCAAGAGCTGCAGACAATTGTCAAGGAGCAGCAAATGCTAAAGGAACAGGAGGGTCTGCTGTTGGACATGCGCGACGATTTGACAGCGCTTGTGGAAGTCTACGAGCAGCTCGAAAAGATCTATGCGTACCAAGCCAAGGCCAAACCCGTGGTTCGCGAGTTCCATGTTGCGCCTGCTGAAGAAGGGTTTGAAGGCATGAACAGTGTGCTTAAGCAAGTCGCCACAATTGATGTTGACCATGACCGACGTTTACGCGCCATGGAACAAGCAGAAAAGATGCGACAACGCGAGCTGGATAATCGTATTGACGAGTTTGAACAAGAGCTGTCTACGTTTGTGGGTGCCAAGAAGCTCAAAAAGACCGGTGGTGCGGAAGAAGCAGAACGACTTCGGAAACAAAAGGATGCCGATATTATCAAGCAGCTCTACATGGAACGGAAACAGAAGGAAAAACAGAATGAAATACAGAATGAACAAGAGGAGGATAGGCCAGATGAAGATAGTAACTAGTTCATCACCACCTGATTTTCCCCTCCCTTTTAACTTATATAAAGTTATGTACAAATTGTTACTAAACACATGAACTTGTGGATGGTCTTCTTGTCAACCACAGTATGCATCTATATTTAATGTTTAATTCTACAGTGAAAGGAAAGCATATTTGATATTGTAATTTGGTACAATGCAAATGGTGAAGACGTTGGAGAGGGATAAGACTATAGGTTTACGTACCTGGTCATTTATCATGAGCCTGCAAGACTTAGTGATAAGACCGCTAATGTCAGGATGAGCGCTTGTGCGACAGACAATGACCTCAAATTTCTCGATGGTACGATAAAAAGTAATAGACAACAGCATCTATCGTCATCCCTGAAAACCTAGTTATTGCTGCAATCAATAAGCAGTTACTACATTCCGGCTTATTTCCTAACAGGACGCATGCTATATATGCACAAAGGCGACGATGATGCTCCTTCATACATAAATATATACCCACAACCTTGACAGGGCTTTGTCCCAGGATACTTTGCATTCACCAAGCGCACTACACTACTTTATCTGAATGTAAAGATATCCCGCGTACTGGTTCTGTTATTGCTATCTAGATATCTACGTATCTCTAGAGTGCGATATCATAGTGCCTTGACGATAGTGCCTTGACGATAAGCTTCTGCGAATATGTGATACTGTATGTGTGTGTGTATATACACAAGCTTGCTGTGCTTTCACAGGGCCCTGTTCCCGTGTTGCACCGTGTAACATGGACCAACCCCCCCTAGTTTTCCCACTGTGCTGCAACATGTAAAAAAATTTACGCACTTGTTTATTAGTAGTCTAGACATGCTCGTTGATTGAAAGAGCAGTACACATGGACTGCTTACAAATAATGCATACATAAAGTGATCAATATCCGGAAGATGAAAAAAGCTACTCTTGCACGCGATGCGTATTTTCGGGCCGCATGATCAGAATGGGGCGGGGGGTTGGTTGGGATTGGTCCTGTCGGAACTCGGTAATGAAAAAGCCGCACAACACACTGTGAAACGCTTAAATAAAGTGGCGAAAGGGATAAAAAACAATTGTTGCACGTTTCTTCCTTTTCCTCTCTTCTTCCGTCTCTCTTTCTCACTCACTCACACTCACTCTCACCCTCGTCTTTTTGCTTGCCACCTCATCTAAACCGACAACCATGGCCATTGCAAGCATTTTTCAATCCCACAAAAAGCGACCGTCACTCGAAATTTCCATCAATAAACGGTGGAGCGCTTCATCGGCATCGATTGACTCACCGACGTCGCGCGTCCGCCAACGCTTTTCATCCATTTTGCACGGTCGCAAAGCATCAATCACGACCCTTGAGACAATGGACAGCGCGAGCGAGCCCCGGTATTCGTCAAGCTCGGATCGATCATCACTCCAACAGCCACCTACACCCCCACCGCATACCCCTCAAACACTGTTTGAAGAAGAAGAGGAAATGATGCCTTCATCATTCAACTTGGCACGTCAGGTCCGATGTGTGCTGGGAACGGCCCTGGACGAAGTCGACGAGGAGATCGAGCTGGAGTGGGAAGACCATCGCCACAAGCTGCGTCAATCGCTTCAGTTGCCCAAACGACCCGTGTCCTACATGTAAAAGGCACACTCTTTCTCTCTCGCATATACGTGCTGCATGCACAACACACGCCCCCGCAAATACCTCTTTTCTTGTACAGTTCTACATAGATCTATATTTACTTATCCCTATATTACCCTTATAATGCTAATACTATCATCATCCCCATCATATCAACTGATTATTAATAATAATGATAACAACACGTCCTACTGCTACTGCGTCAACTATCACACACACAGGCTGTATCTTGATATCGTCTCTTTAAAATAAGTATGGGTGACACATAGTCGGGCGAGAGGTGCCACAATTCCGAAATGCAATGATATCATTATTTCTTTCTTTCGCCGTTCCATGCGTCTGTGTTGAACCGACATCTTGAAACACATTGTGCACACACAGCAAAGAAAAGGTCATGTTATAAAAACAAGAATATCGGGCCCACTGCTCCTCTCTAACAATCTCATCTCCTGTTGTTGAACTCAATGACATTGGAAAAACTTTTCTCATTTATCAAGAAACATGCTACTGAGTAGTTTTCGCAAAGTTACACCGACTTTTGATTGGTTCTACCCTGGGAAGCACTGCCTTTGATCTCCTCTACTCTCTCTATCTATGCAAGCAGTTATTCCAAGTTTCGATATAGACGTTGTTTTCCCGCAATCCAGCAAGTAGCAGCGCTAGCCCATCTTCTCACTGTGGGTCCGTGAGAAACATGATCTGGCTATATACTCCCCTATTGCCAAATGGAACCCAGTGATTTTATCTTTTAGCCCATGCCCTATTTTGATATAGGATGGGCGTTACGTTATGTAGAGGGCTCGTACCTACCACAAATCACATGCTACCAGGGCTAGTACTTTTAAAATACATGTTTAGGTTACTCTTTGAAATACAAAACAATGACATCGTTGCTAGATGTACATGCGTCAAAGTTCGATGAACGGGATCAGCTCCGACATTAGAACGAGATCAGAACTCGCACAGATTAACTTTTGTCTGCGCGCACAATCACCGCCGAAAAGCCGCTAATACGATTAACAACAAAACGTCATAGCACATAGAAAAATATCAAAGCATGGTCCATTGCCTGAAAAGGTTATTACCGAAAGTTTAATAGTTGCCACTTCTTTCTTTTATTCATCTAAGTTAGACATATTGATATACGAATTCTCCGCTCCTGTAGGGGTTGATGTCATGTTGGCAATTTATCATTTTTACACTGGCTCGAAATATTATAGCGTACCAGCTTGTCATCCACAGTTTATCAGAATCACAAAGCAGGTATATGCAATGGTTTTATATGTATAACTTTACATAGTATCATTGCAGCTGATTAAAATGGCTATCTGTTTTCTGGATGATTGAATCCGTTCCCCACCCGCACCCCAGCATTTTGACATAGCATCACTGTACTCGCTATAAAGCGATCAACATGGATTATAATCATGTCGAATAGGATAGCTAATCATGTCCCACCGTTTAATATACAATTTCCAATTCTTCGGCGTCATTACTACGTTGTCGAACATGTCATCCAGATACATATGTTCTATTCTCGCGTTTTATGAGGGTAGAATCGTGTGTAATTCTGGGGATAGCATTAGATGGTTTGGAGGAGGCCCGTTGGATCATTTCGCTGATTTTGCTTCTTTGATAAGTTGTAGGCACTTTGAAACTTATTGTTTTACGTATACCCGCTTGTGCTTTTTACAAGAACTCTATGCAATCACGCATTTGACAGCAGTTCTCGAATACCTACAAAGGAGACTCGTTCAGCTCCGGGGAACGTTGTTGTTGTAACAATGGCTAATATCGAGAGCCTAAGGCCGCGCCACTGTTTGAAGTGACCTTGCTCTAACCAGACATCTGTGGTCAGCGCCATTGTATGTATATCTCAAACGTACTCTGTCAACAATCGATAATCGAGTAATATCAAACCTGATCCAACCCCATACCAGCTCAGAATTCGTGTCACGCCAATCGAGGGTCAGCCATTAGGTTCAAAATCCAGTAGAGTGAGCCTATATAGCCGTGGAGTTCTAGTAGTAGAAGTAGTAGTAGTAGTAGTACGATTGAAACAGATAATGTTGTCGATGTCTTGATATGCTGTCGTGAAGTTGGGTCTACTAGCGGTGAGGATGGACGAGACGTCACTGCATACTATGTTTTTTTTGACAGATATGTTTTAACGATAAACGAGCAAATCAGTAAATGCGTACAGTAGCGTATATGCTATTCTCACACGCTCGCTCTTCATTTTTGATTACGTCGTTCCAAAGTGATGATAGTAAAACTTTATCTCTTTCTTTTCTCACACAAACCGCTCTCCGTGTTCCTTGATCCGAGGATGGCGGGAAAAATCAGAAAGATGTGTATCACAGGGACTGATTCCCCGCAAAACTGCCAACTCAGATTTCTTTTTTTAACTATACTGTAAAGCTATAGATGTGTGTTCTGTTCACTAATCATAATGGTGCAGAAAAAAAAAAGGTTCAAATTGTAATGCAAACCCCTTTCTGGCTATACCTTTTTTGAACTATGTTTTGTGGAGTTGTGGGGTCTGGGAAACGAATGACGGCTGAATGATGGGTCTGCGGTGTGGCATATGTAGATCTCGATTTTGTCTTTGCTTGTCTCATTTACAAAAAAGCAGACACGTACAAGAAGGACGTGATGTATCACTGCGAGTGTCATCTTACACATAGAGAACATGTGTACACGGGGTTTCATCTTTTACCTGAAATATGTAGCGCCAAACAGTTGCGTAGATCTGTTTTATCACCTCATTTCTTTCTCTGTGTACATACAAGGAATCTCCTTTTGCTTATTTTTCAAATGTCACCGACAGTATCCTTTAGGTATCGGATCCATTCATTGTTGTCATGCACAAAATCATGGAGACAGCATAGAATTCAAATTAAGGCCGACAACAACCAGCCATGCAAGTTGCCAATGTAAGAATACACAAGCAATAGCGAGAAATCCTGAAATTACATTATTCTGTTTCGCTAAGGATAATGCAAACACAGTAGAATCTGAAAATAATCAAGCTTATTATCAGCTACAATACAATTTGGAAGATTTCATGAATGCGCTGTGCCAAAACAGACCCTTCTGTATATAAATAGCTACTTTGCTAGCCCAAATGAGTTGCAATGGTGTTTGATTCTTTCACAATCGAAAGTGAAGGCTAAGCGGCACTGCGCTCAATCCGCTATGGCAAGTATCAATTGTATCAGCTGTCATTACAAAGAAACGTGAATACACATAAAGAATATGAGCCGCTTTCACCGATATGCTACAGATACACGATGATAGTACTTATTCGTACTAAAACGACTGCCAGGTGCTGCAAATGCGTCGAGCTTACCATGTAAAGGATACATACAAAACCAAGTCATTTCGCCTTCTCATTTCTAACAGCCACATTATAACTGCTTCATAAACATTATTTCTACGATATCATAAAGCCCATCTTTGCCTTCTAAAAATATGATAGTATTTATGCCTTGCTTTATTTCAAGCACAAAGTAACGGTTTTACTTTTGTCGCTACTATTCTCAATCTATAAAGAGGTGTGGATATGTGATGGACGATAAACGCCCTGTACTTATAGTCATCAGTGACGTTCTCTTTCAAGTGTATATGTAGTGCCATGTTTATCCTTCATCACAATCTGTGCGGATGAAAAGGTATCATTTAAGCCCATCTGCTACTACATCCAAAGGAAACACTTGGTCATTTGAGTCTACGGGCCATTTATTCTAGAGCTTCTGTTGCTCATCTATCGAATGCTATACCACACCATCTGTCAATTTTCTAATTTTACAGGCCCGCTCGCTCGAGCAGTAATAGGGTGTACCGAGCAGCAGTAAAATTATTCCATCAGCAGAAGGCCAATTATAGGGTGTATGCAAACGAGAAAAAGACTTATCTACTGAGCTCCATTTTTTACAGAGCTGCTTACATAAAAGCTAGAGATACCCTCCACCTTATCGCTTCTATGTAAATCAAAAAGCAAAGAAAAGTGGAAGCATGCGTGTTTCAAGTTCCATAAAAAACGTGCTACATACTCGGTGCGTCGGAACAGATTGCTCGCTGGCTGGCTGGCTGGCTGTCAAAATAATAATTTTTCGAGGTCTCCACGCACACAGACACGCAACGCAACGCACGCGCTTGTCGGCTCTCTCTCTCTACTTCTAACAAACCGTACCCTATAAAATGCAAGCCCCTCCTCCCAACATTGATCCCAATTCTGCCGTATACGCAACGGATGAATACGGAAGACCATTCATCATTGTTCGTGAAGGCCAAAGAAAATCCAGATTGTCTGGTATTGAAGCCATCCGTGTAAGTTTTCTTGCGTATGTTTTTTTATTTTTTGACTGGCAGGTCGCACACACGATGAATATGAGCGCGTGCGAGACGATCTGAACCATGAAGCCCATATGGAATGCTCATCCCTTTTTGTTTTTTCCCTTCGTTCAAACTGTGTTTTTGTATCTAGTCGCATATTCTTGCTGCAAAGACTGTCTCGAACATTATTAAAACGTCGTTAGGCCCACGAGGTAAAATCTCATAGATGATACAAAAAAAGGGGGTTTGGTGGCGGCGGGAATCTAAGAGGAACCAGAGGCCACGTCAGATTTTATGGAACATAATGTCGGCTGGACCGAGAAATGTATGTTATTAAACGTGGAAGGATGTGAACTCCTTTTATAAATATTTCACAGGTCTCGACAAGATCTTGATCTCGCCCGATGGTGATATTACTGTGACCAACGATGGCGCAACGATCCTGGATCAGATGCAAGTGGAACATCAGATCGCCAAACTTCTTGTACAGCTCTCCAAGAGTCAGGATGACGAAATCGGTGATGGTACCACTGGTGTTGTTGGTGAGTATCTCTGAATAGCATGGAAGTAAAGTGTATTACGCGTCAGGTTTCTTACTGACCGAAATTTTGTAATATTTTCTTAGTGCTTGCTGGTGCTTTATTAGAACAATGTGAACAGCTTCTTGATCGAGGTATTCATCCTATTCGTATCGCCGACGGTTTTGAGCGTGCCTGTAACGTTGCTGTCGAACATCTCGACAAGATCTCTGACACAATCGAGTTCAGCAAGGACAACGTTGCTAACCTGAAAAAGACGGCCATGACCAGTTTGGGTAGTAAGATGTACGTATACAGTTGTTGATGTTCGTTATGCACTATGTGTAATCAATTCCTGGCAAGTAGAAAATTAAAATGGTCACTAAACAATCACATAAATAACATATACCCAGTGTTTCCAAGTGCCACGAGCAATTCGCAGACATTGCAGTGGATGCAGTTCTTTCCGTTGCCGACTTGGAACGCAAGGATGTTGATTTCGAGTTGATCAAGGTGGATGGCAAGATGGGCGGCTCGCTCCAAGATACCACGCTTGTCCACGGTGTTGTTGTCGACAAGGACATGTCACATCCTCAAATGCCTCGAGAAATCCGCGACGCCAAGCTCGCTATCCTCACATGCGCATTCGAACCCCCACGACCCAAAACCAAGCACAAGCTCGATATCACTTCGGTAGAAGAATACAAGAAGTTGCAGGAATACGAAAAGAGCAAATTCGAGGACATGATCAAGCAGGTCAAGGACTCTGGAGCCAATCTTGTCATTTGTCAGTGGGGCTTCGACGATGAAGCAAACCACTTGTTGCTTCAAAACCAGCTGCCCGCTGTTCGATGGGTTGGTGGCCCTGAAATCGAATTGATCGCTATTGCCACAAACGGCCGCATTGTGCCTCGATTCGAGGACTTGTCGTCTGAAAAGTTGGGTTCGGCTGGTATTGTCCGTGAACTTGCTTTCGGTACTACCAAGGACAGAATGCTCGTGATCGAAGAATGTGCAAATAGCCGTGCAGTTACTGTGTTTGTGCGCGGTGGTAACAAGATGGTAAGGAAAAAAAATAAAAAGAAATTGAACAAGGGAAAGAAACAGTACGCTAACTAGTGTCGTGTGTGTACATTACTAGATCATTGATGAAGCCAAGCGATCGCTGCATGATGCCATCTGCGCCGTCCGCAACTTGGTCCGCGATAACCGCGTTGTCTATGGTGGCGGTGCGGCTGAAATCAGCTGCTCTTTGGCTGTTGCCAAGGTTGCCGATGAGGTAAAGCAAATACAAATAAAGGAGGAAAAGTTATTGGGCGATCCAAGGAAAAATGCAAAATATGCTTGTCGTTCCAGTTTGATCATCGGTTGAATAAGTATATACTCACAATAAGCTCGGTTTTTTATGAAACAATAGATTTCGACAATTGAACAATATGCCATGCGCGCCTTTGCCGATGCTTTGGATGCTACTCCCTTAGCACTTTCTGAGAACTCTGGCTTGTCTCCTATCGAAACTCTGGCCGAAGTCAAGGCACAGCAGGCAACCACAGGCAACGCTCGCCTGGGTATCGATTGCTTATACAAGGGCTCAAATGGTAAGTTCACCCTCCTCCTCGTCTTCTACTTCGAAACACGATCACACACATCATCACCATCATCTCCTATCCTACTCCTTTATTCCTCTGTGGATATGGACGAAGCTACAAAAAACAAGTTATTAATATCTTTCATGATTTGCAACAATCAGATATGAAGGACTTGCATGTCTATGATCCATTGATCTCCAAGCGTCAACAATACCTTTTGGCTACACAACTTGTAAAGATGATCTTGAAGATCGACGATGTGATTACCACTGGTCCCAGCGAGGCTTAAAAATAATAAAGAAAAAGTATTAGTTGTTATGATTTTTCTCTCTCTTCGTATACATACATAAAATGAAACTTTTTGCTCACAAACAATCTTGCAAGAGAAGAAAAGAGGAGCTTTTCGTTATTGCTGATCTTGTCGCTGGCTGTGCGTCCTGATGAAGTGGAGAGTATTACCAATACAATGCAGGGTTTTAGAAAAGGGAAGCAAGACGTTAAATTATGGGGCCGTCGTCAACCTAGCCGACCGTTTAAGGCCTTGCACATTGATCCGATGGGTTTGACAAATGATCGCTGGACGTTACTCCTTTGCCTTTGTGACAAAGCAAAGGAAATAAAGTAGCCTCCTCTTTGTATACGTTATAGCATTACTGCTTTGGGGAACAGCCCCAGGACCCTTCACTTTTTACTTGCTCTCTACTGTGTCAAATTGGATGGGGAGAAGAAATCCAGGGTAGTAAAAAAGCGTAGATTCGGGCACAGTCGCTTTGAAAGAAACACAAAGGTCTCCGCACTCCTCCTTGAAAACACAACGCACACAACAAATATATAGTAGAAACATTGAGAATGTGTACTCTACATGAGTGTGGTATGTAACAAGGGAGAACGTGTTACTGATATGCTGTAAGTAGGGAAGCAGTTGTAGTGGTGTTTGTTTTCCCAGTTATTGTCAAGAAGCATGTAAAACACGCAGTACATACATACATACACACATACATTGTACAAGAAAAGGACAAAGGAGACTATATTCTTGTGCCTTTATCCGTGTCAAGAATATGTATTTAGCATGATGGCTGATAGGTTTTTATGAACTTGATGCATAAAGAGTGTCATACACACATGAAATTGATCGACTCCAATATCTCACTCTCAGGTTTTTGTATTACATACAGCTGCTACTGCTGGTAATAAAAATAGTCATGGTTGCTTTGTATCCATTATATTATCTGCATGAAATACTGACTAGAGGAAAAAGGGGGAAAGGGGCGGGAGCTTGGGGTAGAGGGTGCGGGGGTTGGGTTCAAGGGGGTGTGGGTCGGTGGAGATAGTAAGAGGGACGGGAGATGAAGGGCTGAGAGGGAAAAAAGAAAAGGCATCAATATAGCAGATGGAGAGTCTAAAATTGAAGGGTCAGTAGGAAGAATTTGGCAATGGCCCACACAATTCATAGGTTCGGTTGGGAAATTGGAAAAGGGATATACCCACTTCAACATGAGAGTGCGTAATTATAGAAAGAAAAGCGTTTCCTACTATATGCGAACAGAAACAACAGCACCAGCAGTTTTACTGTACCTACCACGGTATAATCACGCGAATAAGAACAACGCTAGTTGTTGCTGTTATTCTTAATGCGAAGGCGCATGTCTTTGGTATCCAAAAAGTCAATTGAACTTTCCTTTTTCTTCAATGGCCCCAGTTTTTTCAGGGCCACTATCGGCAGCATGTAAAACAAAAAAAAAAAGCAGGCACCAAAGCTGTCACCTACCTATCTAGCAGCAATAGTAGCGAAATAAAAGCTTCATAAGATACTTATGATTGATGATTTGCATTGTAATATGTGCAAATGTATGTATGGGTGTGTGTGCGTACAGCAGCAGCAAGGTCCCGAAAAGAGATGAAAAAAGCGGTAGGGGCCAAAAAAAGCTGCATCAAAGAAAAAGAAGGGCTAACCGCATCATATTATTATGTTCAATTACTACATACTATGTAGTATACCACTACTACGTACTACTACTGCAATTTCATTTTGCGCATAAACTTGGCTCTTTCCTCTGTTTAGGTTTTTTTTTTCTGACGGAGATTATCCTTTACAGGGAGGCGCATTAAGGCGGATAAAAAAAAAAGAGTGTGGCGACAAGTCAAAGACAGTAACCTAGCAAGAGGCAATGATAATTCGGTTAGGAGCATTGGCAACCCGAAAGAGTAACTGGCGGTGTGAGTGAGGGAGGAGTACCCACGTTGCCCATATATGCGACCCACATGCAAAGGGAGTGTTCTCTCTCTCTCACTAATGGTGTTGAGAGCACTCATGGGGATAATAGGCTGCTGCTAGTGAAGATGATGACGACTGACGGGCTGAAAGTTATATGCTGCTCATAATAATAGTAGCCACCTATTGTGTTTGAATCATGTTGTGTGCTGTTGCTGGTTTTAGAACAGGAGTAACTTTTTTGATCTCGCTTGCTCTCTCTCTGTCTCTCTAACTTCTTCATAGACACACACACACACGCACACATCACATTAGCGTATTCTTTTTCTAGGTTCGCCACCCCTTTTGCGCAGCTATTGTATAAATTCTGGCACGTCTCTTTGCTTCAAGTTGCCTTTTCCTCTCGTTCTTTCTACATCTTTACTTGCAATTTGCTAGAACCTTTGTCTTTCCCCCACACACTCTTTTTTACTTCTTCTACTACACTTCTTTTTTCTTTCTTTCTTCACCTTAATATCGGTCATAATCACCATCTACTAATATTTTACGTCTACGACTACAACAACACACAATAATATACTAAATGATGTATAAAACAATCTATCGATTCAGGTGAGAATGGGATAGCCTTAAAGCATCCATTAGTAGTAACACAGCGACCGAATATAGGAATGGATGGCTAAAACATTTATCGTAACACAATAGAGTACGAGTTGAAGAAAAGTCACTCTCTTTTCCTCTGCATATTTGCATATATCAAGACAAGGCTCCTCAATTCGAGGAGCTCCTCGACAAATTGCGGCATGCTGCGTCTCTTGAGGTACTGTATTTATTGAAGGAGAGAAGGAACCGGGGAAAAGAGAAAGAAACGCGTCTTGTTACTAACCCGATTCACGTTTCTTTAAAATGTATAGGATCTCTGTATAAATGACTACTATATCACCGTCAGCAATAACGACGACAATAATGACCATTACGAAAAGAATAATAGCTGCGACATTCTGCACGACGACCATTCCCTGAGACAGGCACTGAAGCAAATGTCCGAGCGCCATTACCTTGAGCTTATACTGCAGCGCAAGCGGGCTCGAACACTCTCACCCCCTCTTCTTCGCCGAGAAAGTTTACCCAGTAAGCAGACGAAGAAAGAATCTATTTTCGCCACTCTCTATAACTTTTGTGGTTGAATACTAATAAAAAGGAATCGGTCTGTATTGTAGTGTTTCCTCAACAGTCTCCGGACGATGTCCCGGTCATCAAGCCGACTGTTCTCAGATGGTCATCACCCAACGCCGCGCCTGTTCCTGCTGGGGCGGTTCATCCTGCGGAAATGCGGCCCTCTTTCAGTTATCATCATGACGAACAATCTTGTTCGGCCCGAAAGGACTCTGGCGTATCGTTTTGCGACGAGCCCATCATGAAAAAGAAACAGCGTGCTGTATCTGCCGATGACTTGAAAGCAAGAAAGCTGCCTGATCTCTATCATCCGTATTACTCTCCGCCTCGTCGACACAACTCCTTGTTCGAACCAACTACGACAATGACGCCGCCTACAACATCATTATCATCATCTTCAGTGCATCCGCTTGAGCTCCGCCGACCTAGCGCTATTGGCAGTCATCATCATCATCATGCGCCTCCATCACCGCCGTATCCAAAACTGCCAACAATTGCATCACTTACCCATAATATGGCACCGATCGATCAACATCTCCTCCGTTCACCTCCGCAAACACCTTCTTCTCCTGCTTCATCGTGCTCCTCGGCTCCAGTAGCTCCAACAACAGCTCCTGTTGCTGTAACCACTGCTAGTACCGCCATTCATACAGGTCGTCGAGCTTCATCCATTAAATCATCTAGCAGAACGCCAGGCCAATTCTTATGCGAACATGTAGTGGACCCTACTTCACGAAGAATCTGTGGCCAAACGTTCCGTCGCTCGTACGATTTGTCAAGACATCAATCAATCCATATGAAGAACAGACCGTTTTGCTACTGCAATCAGTGTGGCAAAAAGTTCACACGGATGGATGCATTGCGTCGCCATGAACGTGTTCAGGGACACATTGCTAGTAAACGATATCATGCCTCAGCAGGCCAGAGTGTGTGATATGTTTTGTACAAAGTCTTATTATTATCTCTTTTTATTATTACACCTACAATTACTACTGCCAACTACAATAGCAACTATTACCTTTTCCTATTTTAGTTTCACCTTTAATATCTTTTTTTTTGCACAGAGTAACCATAATATTCGCATCACCGTCCTCGTTTAATGCTCATTTTACATACATACACACAGTCCACGCACAATCTATTTCACATCTCACTCTCTTTTTTTTTCTTCACCTTTTCTCTTCAGAAACCATAGTAACTACGAGTAATTACGCACAATAAACTTTTACTTTTCTTTGCTTGCCTCATTCAGGGTCCAACTTAGTGTACACGCTAACTCCTTAATAATATTATGTACTCATCCTCTCCCCCCCCCTCCTCTTTCTCCTTTCTGTTCCTATATCTCCATCTGAGCACATAGATAGTAGATGCAGCTCCCATCACTCCTTCCTTCTCTCTCTCTCTTTCTCTCTTCCTCTTGAACACCAGTAGCAGCCGCAGCTTGTCTAAAAATGAAAAGTCTTTATCTTTTCTACCTTGTTTTTAATATAAATCAAAGTGTTATCGGTGTTCATGGTGAGGGAACTACTGCTGTTGTTGCGGTTGTGTATTGTTGAGAGGAGAAAACTGGTTGAGGATGTGTGTGTTTTATTGGTTTGCTTCGTTTTGGTTGCAAATATAAAAAATATACGTATGAATATATTTCTTTTTTTTAACGCCTGCCTCTGCCTCTTCCTCCACGACCACCGCCGCCACCGCCACCACCACCACGAATACCACGTCCACGTCCGCGAGCCGCGGGTGCTATTAACATTCAATCACATATTTAGTTATTACGTTTCATTATATAGTGTAACGATATAGAGAGGAGAATCATAGAAAAAGAGAATTAACAAACCTTCTTTCTTCTTGCCCTTGGACTTTGGTGAATCGTCAATAAGCAGTGTGTCGAGCGGTAAACTGTCAGGAAGAATAACGCATCGAATGTTGTTTCCTCGAATGCTAAGTGAATCCAAACTAGTAGGGTCTCGGTTCTTTACAGTCATCTTGACCGTCTTCAAGTGTGTGTTCATGCTCATGTCGACACCTTTATAAAAGCGAAAGAAAAAAAACGCACCCAATCGTGTTAATTTGATTGCTTCGTTTGCATTATCTTTTATTCATATGTGTTATAAATGGTTTGCGTCAATTTGTTACCAGTGATCGTGCCGTGAACAACTGTGCCGTTTTTCAACTCGACGGTAACCGTCTCGTTATTCAGTTTCATTAAAAATCTACAAGATCGATTCGAAAAATGTGAGTTGACGCGTATACAGACATGGAAATTAGATGAAAACATCAAAACCAATGCACTGGTGTATTATACAGAAATATAAAGAGCATATAAAACAAGTCGCGATCGTTATAAAGATTTGCAATATACGTTACCTCACTAATTTCATGATTGGGGCAAGTAGTGTGTATACGTATAAGTGTTAAAAGCAGATAGACCAACGAACGACCACCGCAGTGACAAAGACACAAAGCTACGCTTTCAATTTTCTGGCAGCGCAACCCAAAAAGCATTCCGCCCTGCCTTGCTCTTTCTCTCTGTGTGTCTCTCCTCCGTCTGCGGCGCCCAATTAGTTTTGGCAGCTTTTGATGCTTAATTCCAGCTAAGCCACTATGAATGCGATCGATTTCCTTCCACTCTCGCTGCTTCTTTACATGTATTGTACATAGAGCGCTTTGAGTTTTCTACCTGCTGACCAGCGTAGCAGTAAAAGTGAAAGTGGATAACGCTTTGGAAAATGGGTGGGGTATATAACAGATAATATAATCTACGTTTTTATAAAGCTTCTTCTATATCGGATATTTCGCAACGTAGACTGCACAAAGAAAACTCAGTTTCTCTGGATAACGATGCCCATTGTAGCAGCAACTCTTTCTTTCTCGTCCTCCGGAAGAGTACCGTAATTGAAAGTATTACTGTTTGTTTTATGAGTTGCGGTTTCCTGGTTTGACATGTGCTAGTTGTTGTTATTGCTCGCCTCTTTTCAGCGGCGACAGTGCTTTGTTTGGTTAGATTTCATGCTTTGAAATCCTTTACCAGTTACTTATCAACGCCAGTTAGATATTATCGGGACTTACGGAAGATGGGTCGAGGGGATCTAAAGAATTTACAAGGTGACAATGCTACAATGTCGATGAGCTCAGCATGAAATTACCTATCATACTGTGCACTAAATGTATCTCGCTAGCAAGTTTAAAAGTGAAAACGAGTGCTAGCATATTCTTTACTGTTCTTGCTAATGTGCGATCATTGCATTTAAAGGCATACGGTTGTCGATGGTTTTTTTTAAGAAACAAAAAAGATCTTGATTTCCTGAGAGATAGTATGCCAGCTAGTACATGGTACACTGCGTGTTACATGTAGGGCAACGTCAATCCATCAAAAGACAATTACATGGTAAGCCTGTAAGATGGGTTGCTCCTTGCCATCCATGGGGATATCATCAGGCTTTTTACAGTGTTAAAGAGAAACTATCGATTTGCCTCCATAGTAATAAACCCTGTTACAATGACTGTTTGTCAATTTATGTAGTAGTGATATGATAGCCATTGTTCCACGAACGTTTTCCTGCCCTGAAGAGTTCATGCTCGCGCATAAACTGGCTAGTACTCCCAACGGCATGTATCAGCCTATTGCTTGTGTAACTACGATGTAATGGCATGCAATTGTCACAAGCAAGCAATCCACAATTACAATGAAATTCAAAAACCTTTCCGGACCGCCTTTTCTTGAACAAAATAGTTGATTTAAAGATAAAGTGTTAGACCTTTAACTCGAATTCGGAACACGCCGGCAGAAGCAAAGCTTCATTGCGAAGCAACAACGTCGACAATGCTCTCGGTCACTATGACGAGACCTGCAACAAAAGTACACGTACAAAGAGCAACAGCGCTTGAAATTAAGCAAAATTACTAATCTGCATTAAACGATGCGCTTCAGGCACTCGAGCACCGATGCCACCATGCGACTACGTTCAGGCAACTTGTATCACTTGCCAAGCAACTTACGAGAGGTGTTTTTGACCTATACGCGTGAACTTACTCGCGTACCAAAATCTGGCAGCCGCTACGACGCGCTATTTACTGCAGAGAAACATATCAAGGATGCGATCCAACAGTAAAATAGATGGCTAATGCGAACTCTGTCCAAAGAGGCTCTCTTACGCATCCTCTCGGGTGTTCATTATCATTCTTGTGTCGTACTTAGTATGACGTGCAAATTTTGGAATCATTCGATGCATACATGAACGACTGGTTCGAAGTGTGGAACAGAACAACACTATCTTCGCTCATCTATGAATCTATCATAGGAGTGACATAGTACTTGACTCAACAAGCAGCACAGGATTTAAGGGATCGAGGTATTCCACGCGCTTGCAACCCATAGCGCTCCGAACTTGAGGAAAATTCGCCTTTATGAAAATGTCATTACACTCAAGAGCGACTTTTATGCGCAAGATATGGCATCTTTTAGCAAAGCCTTAATACTTACGTCACCAGTCCGTGTCGCTCGTTCTAAGATACCTTTTGAAGGCGCTCGGCGAATTGTCGACTTGATCTTGGTTCTTTCCACGTTCAATCCCGCAAACCGTTTTCACAAACCTGGACTACAGATGAAGACACCGGATGTTCAAGCAAAAACATTGCGCAATGTGATCAGCTTTCCAAATTCACGGCTGATGGATGGCAACTCCATTATGTTTGGTACTGGTGACAACGAAAGTGTTTTAAAAGCGTTTTGGCCCCAGCAAGATGATACGAGACTGGGCAATTTGATCACGAAAGAGGGGTTGACTGAATTTGCTCATATATAAAAGGGAAGAGGAGGAGAAAAGCCCTATGTTAAAAAGCACTCTCTGCTATTCCTTAGCGACACGTGAAACAAATCGTGTTTGATCCCAAGGAAACATCGAAAAAGCGATAGAAAACGTCATCAAGTACATGACTGCAACTAATGAAAGTAACTTGAGTCTTTAGGTGGGTATTTATAACTTCTGTATTTATTGTATGGCTGACCTACTACTTATTACTGTACCGGACTTGATACCTCAAATCGAGTTTTTTACTTTAGATATCAGGCCAAAGTATACGACGACTACTTATCCGCTGATTTGATATACCAACTTATCGGACTGAGCAATAAGAATCTTGGCAATGTCAAGTTCAAGAGTGTTCAAGGTTGCTCCATTGACTGGTTTGATTGGGTCCTTGCCATGTGCCCTGGCATCGATATGTTTTGCTACTTACCTACCTTTATCTACTGTACTACACGTCCCGTTTCAATATCTCGACCTACTGGCGTACCACCCATTCAACCCAACATGACCATCTGTACGGCACATTTCAAAGTGCAGTAATAGAGGCCTTTCTTGAATTGATGCCACGCTTTTCAAACTTGTAGCATTTCGCCCTGGAGGAAATTTGTCGATGCAACGCAGCTTGAATACGACAAGTACTCGAAAACGTCCAGAAGTACTGCTATAAAATAAGCGACATCTACATCGTCAATACAAACGATAAAGGCCGTCTTTCAGCTCGTTACCTAGTGAACAACGCAACACCGCATGTACCAGGATTAAAAGTTCTTTGTTGTGGGCTTTCTATTGTGTGAACTACGATACCACCGTGGCATTGCTTATCAAGAAACACCGCCAAAGTCTCCAGGTGCTAGCACTCGGACTCGATGGTGAAGATGAAGCGACTTTAAACTCTTTAGTCGTTATCAACGCTTGCAAATCTCGGAGCACCAAGTTAAAAAAAATCACGCTTAAAGACTCAGTAAAAAAAATGGCACAAGTATATATATACATACTTTTGCGAAGTCTGTTTGAAGCAGATAATGCACCCCTGCATTCAGTAATGTGCACGGTGGAAGGATAAGTTGCGATTACAGTTGCAGAATCACAAAAACTGAGCCGCATTATGTGCCGTCAGTGAGTCTGAAAAACGGCTAAAAGACTCGTGGGGAATCGACTTGGATGAAGGAGGGACAAGAACAATATTCATCCCAAACAGTTTAGAAGGATGCTAGTATCTATTGGCGGGAAAAATGGGAGCGGAGGACGGGTGATGGCGAAGTTGAGACAGTAAATACGGGGGCGGAAGGAACCCGAGGAACCTGGTGCTCCATCGTCATATGTAACAATCAATAAAAGAACACCCTCTGAGCAAACGAGATGTGAGCTACACACAAAAGAGATGTGCCATACTTAATTATGTGGGTGGACTTTTTGGTTTATATATTGTCCTGCGTAATTCATGTTGAAAACACACCAGGCGGCATACGCTTTAATCAACATTATTTCCAACACCAAATTAAAAAGCATTAATCGGTTAACAAGCGCCATTTCCATGATGATGGCCCTTCCCTTTCTCGTGTCATCATATACCTTGACAGAAAGCTATGTATGCGTGTGACGTTGATTGAGGCCAGCTGCAATTAGCTAGACAATTGATAGATTTGTTTCTCGCCGTTGCCACAACCATACCTTCTTGATTCCACGTATTAGCATTGGCGCAAAACTGATAAATCATAATTGTGGACTCGTTCCTCTCTGCTACTACTAGCTGCGTCAGGAGCAGCAGTATGTAATTTGTCGTTATATTAGCAGGAAGTGCCTGCCGCCTCTTGTACGGAACCTCCATTTTTCACCTAGATATAATGTTCTGCTATCTGTTTACGGGGTTTTGGCTTTTTTTAGCATCCCCTACCCCTTGAAATATAAAATGCCGTACAAACGATCACGTCGTCATCCTTTTTACTTTGTTTACTTGATCAAAATCAGTATATTGTTACTGTACGAGAAGTTTTATTAACAAACTATAACGCGTGCGACGATTATTACTAATTTAGGCAAAAACGAATAACGGCAGGAGACAACATGTACGCTGGCTTCTCTCTTCTGCGAAAAGGCAGATTTTCTTTTTCGCATTCATGTACATAGCACGACTTGTTTGCAGCTGGTAGTGATGATAAAATAAACGACAGCAGCTGCAATATAGACTGTTTTATGTGCATCTTGCGTTGATGCTGCTGTAATACTGTAATTGGTGCGGGTGACCAAACAATTGCTCATTAAGCCTGATTTTGTACCAGTTTGTTTGGCTAATGGTTTCATTATGATGGCTTGGGCATTGAAGCTAGCTGTAAACTTTGTTATCACTTTACCGACAGTAGTAGCATCTACTACCACGTATAGTGTACATTTTAATTTAACGTACGTGGACTTCGATCAACATAGTAATAAGCCATAATTTTTTCTCTCCTTTTTAAATTCTTTATGCTCTATCATACTGCAAAACATGTCAACGTGTTTTCTCCTTTCTTTCAAAAATGAACGGTTATACGGCAAGTCAAATAATCTCGTTGTACTGCATTTAAAGATGGATATATCTTTTTCTTTCTCTCCATAACAAGTCAGGAACGCTGATTAACATTAATCGATGCCTATTACAGAATGGTGCGACTATTTACAATTTTTAACGGATATGAGTATTATATATATCTGTGCTGCACAAGCAAGTAGTGAAATGACAAAACTAAGCGACCGATCACATCTTATATAATAATTTATAGTGACACGTTCTAAAAACGATAGTCAAAGAAGGGACAAAAAAATGCCTGTGTCTCAGTGTGTGGCAAACAAGCTATAAAGGTGAAATATCCAAAAGAAGCAGGACAGGTGCCCTCACGTTTGTTCATAAACCTTATATTCGCAATAGAGCTGTTTTTAGTGCTCCATGCATGCACGATGGGGAAGGATATGCAGTGTCTACAAATTGCAGCAGCAATACCACCAATTACTTTTATTGCTTCAGCACAGTCTGTTTGGATCATGCACCACTCGTTGATCATGGAATATGTTACCATTGTTCTACATTAATAAGGCTATCACTAATCTAATTGAGTTTGAGCACAAGTAGCATATACTTTGGTAAGTCCAATGAACGAGAGCTTTTTATTGGTGATATCTGCAACAATTCTAGCCTAGCAATATTATGCTGGTGTACACTTCTCAACTGTCTTAATAGAGTTGACGGTTCACCATAGATTCTTCGTTATTAATCTTTCTAGAAGTGTACATGCATCTGTATAGCAAGGTATATGTAGTTATCTCATTTAAAAGACACAGAGAGAAGCGGGAAGGAGGATAATCCGTTAAGAGTTAACACCTTAAACACGCAATTGTTGGGTGAAGTCGATGCCTTTAGCATTGACTACAGTAATATGTATTCATCTATATTTTTCTGTATAAAATACGAGAAAGAAGGAGGGTAATATGCTTCATATGTAATATTGGATACAAAAGGTGTGTACGGTTTAAAAAAAACTTCAGCAAAAGAAAGGACGCTATTGTTTATCCCACTTTGTGTGTTCTGAGCAAACTATGTCAATTGTAAGTCTCGACCTAGTAAAAGTTTTAATCTGGTAGTGGGGGAGGGGTATTATGGTAAATGCAAAGCTCAGTTTAACCACGGGGAATGAAGGACAGAGCAGGATTCAACAGAGAGCCGGCATGCTAACAACATTACTAGACAGTCGATGGATGTGACGCACATCCAATAACTTATATATTCCCGTATGGAAAGAGCGGAATGCTTTGCATATACGACATAGCATTCTACTACTATTGCTGAAAATAAGTGATTAGCTCTTTGTGCACTCGGTATGCTTTTAAACCTTCTTTTTGTCCTCTCTCTCACGTTTGAACGGAATTTACCACGGCATTACAAAGACCCCTTTGTAACTCTCGTCTACGATTTACATATTTTATGTTATATGACCCCCCCCTTTCTTTGGATTCGGCGGCCAGGAAAAAGCACAGTCCTGCTGATGATGGCGAAATAATATGTAAGCCGAGCTTTAAACTTGCCCCGCTTTTACATCTTGGCTAGTAACAGGTTGCGTTTGCAGCGCGAACCGCACAGCCACCCCTTGTTACTCAAAATAAACCTGCAATCGTTGGATTCTTTCAGGACGCACACCTGACCTTCCTTTTTGATAAATTTCCTTGATCTATATTTTAGTCTTTTCTTTTATTCTTTCTCTCTCCCATTCCTCTCTCCCATTCTTCTTGTTTATTTGAAAGACAAACTTGCATTTGTATATAAGGAACCAACCCCCTCTCTTCCTTTTGTTGTAAAAATAGTCATTAATAATGGGGCTTGACATGAAAAAATACCGCTCGTGGGCGACAACTACTGCAAGGATGTCTACAACAACATACAAGTTTTATCATCGTCGTCCTCAACACCAACAGTCGAATGCATTGCCACCACCGATTTACCGACTCTCTGACGACGTATTGCTATATTTGCTCTTATGTCCTGAGCTCGATTTCAAGTCGCTCTATGCCATAGCACAAGCATCAAACCGGTTTCGTGGGCTAGTGTGCCAGCTCTTGCGATTATATCTTTTGCCGGATATTCAGCTTACAACAATGATTGATCAGGAGGGCCGAGGGCGATGGACATGCCGTTACAGTTTTGACTCACTTGATGAAACCACATTAAGTGCTACATTTATCCCTACATCCACCAGCAGCGATTCGAGCGGTAATGATCATCATCCTCGACGAGAGTACTGCTTTAAGCGATATCGGTGTGACGGGTCGTCAGACACTCCTACTCTAAGGAAGATCGAAGTTTTACACGGTGACGACTTGAAATCATCATCACTGTTCATAAAAGATACTCGCCGCTACCGAGAAAAGAAAAAGAAATCCATCGAAAACCGAGAACACCCGCTAGAACGGACGAGCATAACACGGCAGACGCGACGCATAGGCATTCAACGGTGCGGAATTCGAAGCATAAGAGCAAAGCATCACCTTGTCCAAGAAAGGCTAGCTGCCAAGATCTATCACAACAGCAACAACAATGCGTCACATGCTTTTACTAATGCTTCATCACTTCCACCATCGTGGCGGCTCATGTACTCAGTCAGCATCCAGCAACCCGTAACATCGTCGCCAGCATTCGACTGCGCTTCGACCAGTAGTAGCAGCAACAGCAGTAGTGCATCATTACCACAGCAGCATGACCAATACAATAACAAACAGTATGCACGCTCTCCATGCTCAAATGCAGTGGCAGCAGTAGACCGTAATCAAGGCACAGCCCGCTATATCACACCGCTATGCCTCGCTGTGGACGTTTCCATGTTGGGTCAACGCTCGTCAAATAACAACAGCGGTTATAAAAGGCTTATCAATCACCTTCCTCCGCTCTGCTGGATCAGGCGCAAGTGGTGGGTAAGCAGACAGACAACGGCGATAGCAACATGAACAACACCTTTTGTTGTATATACTTGTACAGCGGACATATACATTTACTATGCTTATACTATATTTCTATACTCCTAAACACATACTAGTAATCTATTGTTCTCTTAATGAAACAAATACACAAAAAAAGCGGTTCTAAGAACCTTTTTGATGCCTTGGCTTAGTAAAGCTTTGCTTTGTCAAGTCAATCCTTTTTTAGGAGCATTCATGATTTTGCGCTTCCCTCTCGTAAGCCGCCATAAGCATAATACCACTGTTTAAACGAGAGAATGAAGCGGAAATGAGTAGCGTTTATTTGGAGCTTAAGTAACAGAGCTCTGCATAAGTCGGGCGCCCCTTTCTCCGGCTTTTATTTATCGCTCTTCATCCCAATAATTAATAACATGACGGCTACCTGTCCAAAAAAATCGGTGCTTCTCACTAACGCCTTTCCTTTTGAAGTTAGGTGTAATTGTCTATTTTGTCATAATAGAATTGAGTACCACAAGTGGTGTGTCATCAGAACTGTTGCAAGTATGACTCCAGTGAGTTATGTAAATCCAATGTTAATTTGTTGTGGCACCGCCATCCCAATGGACACGAGAGGATTGACTTTTTGTTACTTGTTTTCTACTTGCTGTTGCTAGATCATATCATGCTATGACTCAATTATATAGCCACAAGCTCTGATATCCTTTAACACCGCATGCACTCTACGCCATTTGCAACTGATCAATACGCAATCTCCATAGCACGTGCATTGTTAGTAAATATTATGTAATGCTCTGATCGTCTCCATTGCTCACGCGAAGAAGGAGCTTTCTTTACTACCTTCTCTGAGGTATATGGCGTCGGATATTCATGTTTGTATAAATCCAATGCCTTTGGAATCTTCATATACTCTGAAAGCTTTCAAAGGTTTTTGAAGGCTTCAAAAAGCATCAAATAACAATCTCAAAATTTTGACGTGTATATACATCACGCATTAAGATTGTCTGCACCCATGTTATGGGTATTAGCTTTATTCCATCATGTATAACTTGAGACAGCCAAGAAAGAAAAACGGCTAATTTTCATATAAGCGGTAGTAGAGTACGTGCGCTAATATTCAAGCGGCTACTGGTTTTCTTTATTGTCTTCCAAAGGGTTTTGAGCTTTTTCTGTTACACATAGTAAGAAGTTTCCTTGAATTACTGTATGGCGCTCGATATCATCAGCGTCCTGTGTGTTACTTATATAGCTAAAAGTCGTATGTTCAACTGCGAGCAATAGACCCGCGCCGACTATGTTCAAACTTATACGTTTACTCATTGAATACAAGTGTGAGAATATACTGTCTGCTGTTCCTCTGGCAACGAATTGCACACATAATCTAAGCTTTAATTGAACGATACATAATAAGCACCATACTTATGGTGCTAGCAAGAAAAACAACTAAGCTTGCATGCTTGCTCGGAAGGAGTTTAGTAACAAAAAGATGCATTATGGACGGGCATATCCCAACGAAACGGTTTAGCCAGCAAACGAAAACTCCTTGAGAGTAACGTTTAGCAACCGCGTGTATGAGAGAACTTTTGTTTTTTTAAAGTGCATGAAAACATTTGCAGATCATTCGCTTATCTTTAGCTTTACTGGAATACCACTACTGCTTATCCTGCAACTACAGCTTTTAGGAGAGCATCAAATGTGCCTCAAAAGAAAACACACAAACTGCATGCATGCATGCATGCATACGCTGTTGCTTGATGCTTGAAGCAGCGCAACACCCGCGTTTCCGTATCGACGCCATAGTATGCATGTTTCAGATGTCTTTGTGCTGATTGGCAGTCGAGGGAAAGGAGCGCTTACCAATGTAAGCAAAAGCTGCAGCATTTCATAATGAGTTTGAAAAAAGATTTGCCGCGCAGTTGACAGTCTTTTTTAAAACATATCAAAAAGGGACGTTTGGAATGCCTGTAACTGGGTATTACAGAGCCCTTTTTAAAAAAAACCCCAGTCGCAGGTCTAAAAAGAAAAGTGATAAATGACACGAATGGGCCACTCAATCCGTTTCAAATCGTAGTGTGTACCCTCGGAGTTAGGGTCTCAAAAAGAAAAGAAACGTCAGTCTACGGTGTTACTTGTGCAACGACTGCTTTAGAAAGAGGATCGTGACGATGGCAACGCGTCCTTATACAGTATTGGAGTAATTCCGGCCTAAAAGCATGGATAATCCAAATGTATAGAGACCACGATGCCGCCAAGCTCTTTTTTAACAAAAATGGATAACTCGGAATTGGGAATAGCTCCCCCACATGATTGACAAGATCAAGTCCCTTGTCTTGTGCAACGAACGGGCTTACATCCGAAATTTGCAGGTGGAACAATGGCGCTTGGGTCCACAGTGCTACAACTTGAGCAGGGGGATCGATGACGACGGTCAAGTAGAATAACTTTTTTAATATGAATCAAAGACGCGAACACATTTAATACAACGGCGCCAATCAGCATTGATGAAAAAGATTTGATCCCCCGTAAGCTATTCTAGCATTTCGCTTTAAATCATTGGATACGCGCGCATGGTTGCCTTTTTCAGTCATCCCAGACCGATCAAAAAAAAACCGCACACACCAGCGGCGCCTTAAAAACTTATGCATAGCGTGGTGCAGCAGCGTTTTTTACTTCAATCAACAGACAAGCTCTCGACAGTTGCACTCACCTTTTCTCTCTCTCTCTCTCTTTTTATTCCTCCTACTCACTGTTTTTCAAAGCTATAGCACACACTAGCAATGGCTGACAGCGGCGAAGATCAGCTAAAGTAAGTGGCAATTCTGGAACGATCGCCCCATTTGCATAGAATGAATGACCTTGACTGTGTTACTTGTTCTTCCATATCAGTGCGGACAACTCTATCTCCACCTTCACTTCCGCGTTGTGGTTCAACGCTGCACTAGCAGGTGGCTTCTTTGGTGCATTCTGCGTTTTGCGTCGGTTAAGACCCCAGGTTTACTCTCCACGATCATATCTAGTGGAAAAAGAGTACGTTTTGAATTAAAAGGCTCTATTCGTGCCTCTACTATCAATATATGTGTTCTTGATCTGATCCAGAAGTGTACCATAGACGACAGCCTCCACCCTTACCAGATGGGCTTTTGTCGTGGATATGGACTCTATTACGAATACCAGACAGTGAAATACTTCGATCTATCGGACTGGATCGATTCATGGTTCTACGGTTCCTACGGATGGGAATCATCGTATTCACACTGTTCACGGCGGTGGCGATACCCGTTTTGATACCCGTCAACCTGGTTAATCAACTGGATTCTCCGGGCCTAAACAAACTTACGATGGGTAACATCAAGGACAAAGGTCGTATTTGGGCCCATTTGGTGTTAGCTGTTCTCCTTTCGGGTGAGTTACCAGGATTTAGAATGGAGCAAAAAGAATATAGAAACACGAAACGTTTTTTTTAAAGTATGCATGATCTCGCATATTGGTATCTAACCGGACCCCACCTTTCGTCCTTTCTCCTTTTTCTCCCCCCCCACCCTTTGGATCCATTATTATTATTATCTTACGTAGCTGGTGTGGTCTACTACACGTACCGAGAAACACGCCAATATCTTGTACTACGACGATTGCACCTTTTGAGTCCGGAATATGCCAATTCGGTCACTGCTAGAATGCTTTATGTTCCATCGATCCCTAATCGTGTGAACAACGTTGAGGAATTGACAAGAATCTTTAGTCGTTTTCCCGGTGGCGTTCGTCGGATCTGGTTGACCAGGTAACCATCCTCTTCTACTCTACCTCTATCTGGCTTACATAATCATTCTCTCCCTCTTCCTCTCGCTCTCGCTCTCTTTTTCTCTTCTATCACTAGCAGTCAGGAGTTGTTGACTGACGTATCCTATACTATTTGCAAACGGGAAATTTAGGAATGTCAAAGAGTTGCCGGATATCGTCACGGAAAGACAAGACCTTATCAAAGGTCTCGAAAGCGCCATCACAAAGTCCATCGCTGCAGCATACAAATACTATGCCAAGAAAGGAGACGCCGAACTCGAAAACAGACCTGATTCACGCATCCCCGAAAGCCTTCGGCCTACACACAGAATCTCAAAGTTGCCCATCCCTCTCCCATTTGTCGGCCGCAAAGTGGACTCGATCGATTACTATCACGAAGAGATCAAGCAACTCAACGCAAAAATCGAGGAAGCTCAACGGTCCCCCGAATCGTATGATCAGTTAAGCTCTGCCTATATCGAGTTTAACCAACAGATCGCCGCTCATATGGCCGCTCAGTGCGTTATCCACTCTAAAGAAATGCAAATGGCTCCACGATATATCCAAATCGCACCAAGTGATATCATTTGGGACAATATGAATGTAAAGTCGTTTGAGCGCTTGGCTCGACGTGGAATCAGTATGGTGATCACTTCTGCCATCATCATCTTCTGGGCTATTCCAGGTACGGGCTAATCTCTTGCAGTTTAAAGAGGCACGTAATGTCTTTTTCTATGCTAACATTTATTACTGTACTATCACAGTTGGTTTTGTCCAGTTGGTTGCAAATATCGAGTCTCTTAGCAAGGTTTTGCCATTCCTCGACGGTCTCAAACAACTTCCAGACACCCTGGTCGGTATTATCCAGGGTATTATCCCTGCTGTGGCCCTTGCCATCTTGGTTGCTTTGGTGCCCATTGTCTTTCGAAGTGAGTTCCTGTTTCCAAGTCAGATACAGTTTTTGCAGTGTTTGCTAATTCATATTATGATGCAGTGTTGTCAAAGCAGGAAGGCATTCCTCAAAAATCAATGGTGGATTTGTCGCTTTTGCACAAGTACTTTTTCTTCCTGGTAAGTAAATTGCAGGCTTTCACTGCGCTATTGCTATTACGCATAAATCACCTTACTGAGATATTGTATGAATTTAAATATATTTGCTAGTTTATTGATGTTGTTCTTGTGTCTACCATCGTTGGTGGTGCTGCTCAAGCTATTGGTGATGTCTTGAACAACCCATTGAGTATTATCAACATTCTTGCCGAAAGTTTGCCCAAGGTAATGAAAAGACATAAAAGTTGTTTCTGCTTTTTTATAGAATTACTACGTGCTAAAACCCGCTTTAATCACTATATAGGCCAGTACTTTCTTCATTACTTACGTCTTGCTCCAATCTCTGAACGGTACCGGTCAAGCAATCCTGCAAGCGGTTCCTCTTGTGCTGTCATTCCTCCTTCCGTTCCTATCCACGACGCCTCGCGACATCTTTATGCAGAAGGGCAAGTGCCCTACTGTTAACCTTGGTACACTGATCCCAGCACAGTCTGTTATCTTTGTCTTGGGACTGTTGTACTCGACCATTGCTCCATTGATTTTGCCGTTCGTCTGTCTCTTTTTTATCATTTCATACTTTGTCTACTTGTACCAGTTCTTGTATCTGTACGAGATGGATTACGAATCAGGCGGTCTTGCTTTCCCTCGCGCGATCCGACACGTCTACATTGGTATGTTTACCTGGCAGCTCACCATGATTGGTCTATTGGCTATCCAGCAGGCGATTCCACAGCTGGTGATTATGATCATTACACTGGTCGTCAGTATTTTTGCGTTGGCGCTCTATGACAAGGCATTCAAACCATTGTTCAAGTATCTGCCGATCCAGCCCGAGGAAGAGGGTAAACAGGCGGTTACCGGTTCCGAGAACCGCTCGTTCTTCAGTGGCAGCAACAGTATTGAAGAAGACGATAAAAAGGTGCTTACGGAGGAGCTTGAGCAGACAAATAACGATGACGACTATAGCTTGGCGAGTGGCAAGGATGCAGGCCCTGTAGTGCGACGTAAGAATGGCAGTCCTTCTTCTGCAAACGACAGACATCGTCGCGCATCGGTTGGCTTTGTGGATGCGTACATTGCACGCGCGCAGCTCCACAAACGTGTCCACGAGGAGCAGGAACACTCATCGACCGGGCACACTCAAGAGATGGTGGTTTCATCTGCACGTCTCATGTATGAAGTAGAATCTTACATGCATCCATCCATGTACCGGACACAACCTACGGTCTGGCTCCCCGAAGACGATATTGGTATCACTGAACACGAAATGGCTCAGCTCAAAGAACTCAACATTCGAACAAGCAACTTTGGTGCCCGCGCTGAACACGATGGTAAAAAGGGCCAAAAATCCCGTGTTAACGTGGACGAAGCTATGTATGTTCATGGTGGTAGAGGCATTCCCGGTGAAATGCCTACGGATGATCCAAACTTCAGCGTCCAAGATTATGTGCGCCACATCGCCGATAGTTATGCTTTGGTGGAGTCATTGGCGCTTACAGCTGCATTCTAATTTGTACATTTTTGAATTTTCTCTTTTTCCCTTACTGCTTACAACATCCAATCTACATACTTACAAATTAAAACTTAACTTTTTGCATATTGTTTTGATATATTGATATATATATATATTTACATCAACAAACAGATGAAACAGCGTCATTATACTTATAAACTGCACATAGGATAACACCATTTTTAAAGCTATACGTATGATGTGTGTATACTTGATTTTGATCAATGTATGCATTTAAGCCTAGCGAACATGGGATCTACTGCTAAACAAAATAGGCAAATAAGTATTGCATGAAAGGCCGAGTAGCCATACTCATGTCTCAGCAGCATAGTAATTTGTGGTCCCTGGAATATTCCAACGTTTAACAGTATGTGGGAAGAGTTTAATATGTACATGGATAGTGAGCCAGCTCATTGTGGGAAAATGCTTTAATGATTCTTGGGAAAGGTCTGAATGGAGGGGGTGACGAAAGAGATGCAAGAAGCGTAAATAGTACATATCACATGAAGAAACAGATGATACTTTTGCTAAACCTGACCCTTGATATCCGCTTTTTGATATTTGTTCGCAATAGCTGCATGAAGTAGTGGCAGGGCTGGCTTGGTTTCGAGTCGTCCATTTACGTCATCCACCTTGATTCCATGTTTTTCTAGGAACTGGGTCGCATCGTCAACAGAATAAAAGGCCAGCTCTCTACTAATAAAGTCTAATGGAAGCCCCATAGGATACCTAAATTGACATGAATACATCGTTATTAGTATAAGACACATATATCAAGGTCTCTATTTTAATAGAGGGGAGAACATCTCTCATCTTTATTTAAGAAAGAGGGCCAGAAACTTACGATTTGCAAAGCATGATCAACGCTTTGACCCGCTCTCTCGGTATAAACTGATCCATTAATAGTGCATTGCGGTTGGGCGCGTCTTGGTATAATTTGAAGAATTGGTGGTAATTTCCAACGGCCAATGCTGCACGGACTGCTAGGGCATGTCGTAGAGCTTTCGATTTAGTCTTGCCTCCCGCTTTTCCTTGTACCTTTGCTAATGCCCTTCTTTCTAGTAACGAGTTCATTTCTGAAAAGTTTACAGAGATGAGCATATTGCAAGTTGTATTGGCGAGACAAACTGTGATAGATAGGGCAGTGCAACGCCGTGTATCACTGCTGGAAATGCTACTACTACTACTACTACCAATCCTTACCACTACGGTTACCCGAGAATAACAGATAGAGAATTTCATAGGCAATAAATTCATTGTTGGTATTAGATTCGCTTCCCTCCGTGTACAGTTCTCGTAGTTGGCTTTGACATTGGTTGTATTCGCTAAGGTCAGCCTGATATCCATATCGTCAGTTCTGGTGTCACTGCAATATTTAATAACCCCAGAGACAATCCGTCCTTCAACCACTAAATCCCCTTCTTCCCGCTAATCCTTACAACTTCTAGTGCGATCCGTGCATGGTATTCATATATTGTAGTTGCAAATCGCCCGCGGATGCCCTGGACCTAGAGTATACCACATCAATTAGTGAAACAGACACACAGGTACTCCCAAAAAAAGAAAGCGGTAGTAAACGTACAGTCAAGTCTTGTCGTATTGATTTCAGTTGCTCGCATGCGTGTTTGTAGTTATTTTCTGTCTTCCATTTCCTCTTGACATGCGTGTATGCAATCTTTAACATTTCTAGGGGCCGTACAGTGGCTGGATCGGGCGCCTATTGTTTTTCAGTTTTTAATAACCCACATAAGAAACGGTGGCAACACGCGAGCGTTTATAAATATGTACGTGAACTTACGGATGTGAGGCGGAAATACGGCTTTTCCAGATCTCTGGATGTTCCTATAATTTTGCCATCTGCCGTCCAGCCCTAATAGTGTATTGCATATATGTAGTATACATGTATCAGCATCATAAGGAAAAGCTGACATATCTGTTTTCCATTTGGCTCTGTTTCTTCCTCTTTCCCTTACCCCGCGGTTATCCTCAGTATTTGTAGCAGGTTGACCCCATGTTGTAGCTGCTGTTCCGAACCGCATAAGGCGTTGTTCACGTTGTCGTAGCTCTTCAGGTGTGCTTTCAAGAGCGATAATACCTCCTGTGTTTTCTTCTGTACCCAACGACGGCATTGGTGTCAACGATGATGAAGAAACGTTGGACTTTGTTCTGTGATAGTGTTTTACAACCAATGGTTTAGCAAAATAAAGGTCGTGCTCTCGAAAAAAAAGCTCTCTATTAAAAGTACATCTCTTAACTTACTTCTTTTTGTTTTTGCGATTGGGATTGGGCTTTCCACCTGCTGCTCTATCGTTATTCGAATAACACCCATCGAGTGTGCATTATGTCAATAAATAGTGTAATAGTTACTTTACGTGGAGAACGAAGAGGCTTCAAGTTACCGTGGCAGTGGTCGTTCATTCCAGTTGGTCATTGCTTTCGCGTTAAGGATAATAGATCGTAGCTCGGTTTCAAGTTCTTGTTGTTTTCCTGGTAAGCAATGTTCAAAAGACGCTGCTACATAATTTCTGGAACGTGTTTGTTGAATTCGACCTTGATTAGTTGGTTATTGATTCAACGGGACAGATCCTTTTATGAAGAAAAGTGGGCGGAATCAAAAGAGTATTGAATTACTTTAGATCTGTAGAAAAATCCGTTAACTTGGGTACAGAATGGTTGACTTTTTGTTTTTTCGCTTTTTGTGTGGTTGTCAAATCAGTGTTGCTCATTGGCAAAAGGAACAAAGGGAAGAGACAACTCCTACTTTTCTAAAATCCGAGATAAAAAACAGACTCGTTGCATAAACGCCGTCCTAGCACAAATTCTTGGACATGGAAAGGTTCCTCTGGACTATCAAATAAGCTTTATTTGTAACTGACACTCGATGGTTCCTCTTTTCTTGTGCATACATTATAGTAACACTGATATTGAAGCTTGGCAAATACATGGAAAGCAGTAGATTCTAACCTCTTTGTTTGCCAAATGTGATATTTTTTTACGCATTCTCCTCTTAGCAATGACAGTTGATAAGAGCCAAAAAGAAGCACACGTATAAGTTACTAAGATACTTTTTGCGATTGTTCTATTCCATATTAACACTTTCGATGCATGAAAAGCTTTATAAACTTAATGGTGACTCGTTATCGAAACCAGAATTTGTTTACGTCTCCTACATCTGTATGTATTGCATTACAAATCCCGAATGCTATCATCAGAGCTAGTGACGATACAGCTGCTCGTAGCCGCTCGTATATCTGAAGCTCAGTATGATATCATGATGGCGTTTATAGCTCTGGAAGCAAGTTGGTGCGCAGCGATCTTACTTTTTTATGCTTTTTGCATCTTCATGTTTAATGTATCATCGGTCAGAGTTACCGGTCTAAAAAATCACAACACTCAGCGAATAAACCGATATGGCATTACGGTATATCTTGATACAACAGTTCTTATCTACTGCAGAAATCAAGTTAAGCTGTTTGATGTACATGTACACATGGGCTTGAATCGACACTGCAGTCAACAGGAAATTAGCTCATGATGGCCGGCAATATCATCATTGCATAAGCATGTAGAATAATTAGCTCCCACCTCTTTCTACGATATACAGTACCCAGTAGTAGCACTGCTTTTTATAATGAAAAATCTGAACCCACCCAATTTAACACTTTGATTTAATACTTGGCCTTTGTGATCTGCATGTTTGAAATGCCTACATAGTTGCCATGTCATTATATATATAATATCCAACATAAACGCACAAGATTAAGTTAACATCCGATTAAATAACGGGGAGGCTTGCAGGTACTCTATGCACCAAGCAAGCCTTTAAAGGCCTTGCTGAAGGGCTTTCATGAACATGTTATCACCAAAATGGTTGTCCAGCTTCATCGGAAAGCTCTTGAGCAAGAGAGCGTGTATAGATATAATACACGATAAAACTTCATGGGATTATTTGGCAAAGCTTCTACTCGAAATCATTTACTTTGTAATGAGGAGCACTTGTAAAGCTGAAAACTGCAAAGACCATCTGTGCAAAGTCAGGAAACCGTAGATATAGATACTTTCGCAGAATGTAACAATCTCATTAACTGCAGAAGCAGGGTTTATCTAAGATCTGCGCTTGCAAATGGATCTCGCACGTACATAGTACGCGCTTCTAAAAGAACAATCAATGTTCGTAATTGTGTAACTCGATTAAAATGCCTAATAAAAGAGCTGCAGTGTCATTGTAGTCAACGCTGCTAAAATGGCAAGCGAGTATATGTTTCAGTGCGAAACGATCTGTGCTTCACGGAGGACTCCCTTTTTTTTTATATACAGTGGAGCTGACATTCAGGAAGACAAAGTCCAACGACAAGGGTAACGGCTTTGATAGTCAGACGGCAGCCTTGAAGGTGCTGCCATTACTGTAGCCTACGAATCTCTCTTTCAAAATTATACGTAGTCATGGAACCATAACCAAACAGATCTTTGCAACTTCAACAACACTTTTTGTGTTTATTTATTTTTATCATTTTCTTATTTATTTTTGTAGTGGTGCACCTTGTTGGTCAAGGAAACACACACAATCAGATAGTTTAGACGTCAACAACACTTTTTGTGTTATTGATTTTGTCTTTTGGTGGTGTACACCAATGTGCTTTTTGTCATTTTCCTATGGGGCCCCGTAGGGAAAAGTATACACCGATGCCCCCAAACATCTGTTGGTGCTACTGCATAAAGAAATCCTTCTTGCTCTGAAAAATAGACCTGTATTTATACTTTTTCAAAAAACCAAAAAAAGTCACACGCTATTAGTGGATCAGCAGGTCAAGACTGGTTTTCAAGCGCAGTCGCCCCATCACGTGATTGGCTTTGTAGAGCCCTTCTGCTTCTCCTTTGTTCTTTGCTGTGCCAAAGCAAAAGTAAAAGAAATATCGTTGGATTGACACTATGGAAACACACACGGTCGCTGTCATGCCGCTGTAGTATATAGTGTCGATCCGTGTTTCACCTTGTGCACCATCTCCGCTTCTTATATGGGAACCCGAGTCCGGATCTCAGGTACCAATCCTGTACTTGATTGAAAAGGCATGGTAACTGCTATACACTCAAGCAGTGTAGCGATGGTAATAAGCAGACACCAAAATACAGAGATTCACCGTTGTCGACTCGTAATCAAAGGACAACAAGTTGCAAAAAATAAACAATCCAACGTCCATTTCATCATCGGGAAAGATTCGGCGGTTGCAGTAAAAGCAGGGCACGAAAACCAGTGTCTTTTTATTGCGTTCCTCGCTACTCTACGCACTCAACTAGAACAACCTGATTGTAAGGTACCAAACTCACCGATTAGCTTTTAACGTGTTCTCCAGCATGAAGGACGGATTTACGAGATGGATCGACGGCGACAAAAAGCACACGATTGCCCTGCTTTCCAAAGCAGACGGAACATGTGAATGGTCCACCGACATTGGCTGGCAACTTTACCAACAGAATCAGAAGAAAGTTGACGGTGGAGTCAGCATTATGATACCAAGATCTCCCTTGGTGCTATACATTGCGTAAAGGATTGTTGTAAGCAAAAGACCATCAGGTCAAACCTGCTAGCACTAAGTTGCTCCTTTAAAAGCAAAAGTGTGTTGAATGCAAAGGAGATATGCAACACATTGCCTGCGACGTCCAGGTGAACTTCAAGTTCATCCGTTGGGTGGGCACTGCCCGGCACTATGACACGCAATCACATGGTCAATATGAAGCAGCTCATATAAGCAAGCAATCAGTCGCCAAACTTACCGAAAGGGTGGCCCTTGTTGTCGGTAGCAGCTCTCAGAGAGCAATGAACCCACCACAACAACCTGTGCGCGAGATCGACGTCGATTTACAGCACGCTCGTAAAATGGCGTATCGCCGTCGTAACATACTTGCTTTGAACGGATCCAACGCTAAGGGCGCACCCAACATTGAAACGGCAGCTGCTCCAATTCGACAGCTTAATATTGATTTTCCCGGTTTTGTACGGTCGCGCTGGATATACAGTTGTACCCCGGTTTTTGCAACCGAGGGTTTTCCGATATTTTTTTGCAAAAAGTGAGGATTTGCAAGTAACGGGGTAAACAATTCTGCTTCAAGTAGACACTGGATAAGTCATCCTATTAACACTAGCCCATTGTTTATCTGTCAGAGATGATGTACGATA